AGTGAAACATACGCACTGCACTTTCAGGATCCGCTAGCATCGCAAAAGTGACATCGCAAGCAGCAGTCACTTCTTCAGGAGAAGACTTGTACCTGCAAAACAGGAGAAACTTTCTTAATCAGAGGTTTTGCTTATACATTAATCTAAAAAACCTCACTTGAACCAATCATATCATTCTTTACAAGAAGCACTGGAACTCTTACTTTGCTCCTAATCCAATGAGAGGATCACATTTGCTCTTAGTTCGGTTCCATACAGTCACATCACACCTAACAACCAAGCCCCAGACGCCTCATCAATACATCAAAAGAAGAAAAGCATGATGTGAATATTATCGTCATAAAAATTCCTCCAAAGTCAAGACTTTTACCCAGCTTTGATGAGGTTTTGTGCCATTGGAGAACCCATGATGCCGATACCCAGAAACCCAATGCTAACAGTCCCAAGTTCATCTGTCATACAAACCACCACTCCTCAGATAGTATTCGAACATCTTTCTCTCGAAAGTTGTGGTTTTGTCCTAAACGAAAGAGCGATTTCTTCACAATTTCCCCCTATCTAATGACAACTCTATTGTTCTGGAAAGCAATGCATGTGGCAATTGAGCACACCATTTGTAAGGCATAAACAGAAACAAGAAATTTACCTTTGGTAGAGGGAGTAGGTTGCAGGGAAGAGTAAACCCTATAAGATAGAGCAAACATGGGTTTTGAGAGGAAAGGGGAAATGGGTTTTGGTCTGAATCGAACAGGGACACGAGGGGAGAAGATGGAGCACAAAGCCATGGCTCCTGAAGAAGACGCAAAAGATAATGGAACCCAAGGCATGGCCAGAGCGTTTGTAAGTTATAGACTTCTCTCCACAGGTGTGGCCAAAAATCTCGCATTTCGAGGCAGAAAAAAGGCTTTTTTTTCTTTTCTTTTGTGGATTGAGAAATTTTACCGAGGAACAAATTGATACAAAATGGTAAAGATTTTTTTAGCGAGAAGTGTAACATTGAATTCTCTTAGTTAAAAGCCAAAGCACTTGCAGGGTCTCTTCGGTGGTCCAAGATGCCAATGGTAACAGTTTCATAGTCAAAGTGTGTACATGAAAGCTTATTTTGTAACGTTTATAGTCATTGTACCATCAGTGGTGAAACTATTTTTATCAATAGTTAATTTCTCGGAAATGTAAGAGATGCACGTTTTGCACTTGGTTAATACCAGATAAACCGAATAACTTTGATTCAAACCGAACCAAAAAATCCCGATTTGAAAACCGAGTAATGTGTCCAAGGGCAAAAGAAAACGCATGCCCTCTATATGGATGAAACTGGTTTTGTATTGTTTAACTCTCTTTCTATACACAGCACCAAAAAAAGAGAACAAAAAAGGATTTAGTTCCCTGGCTGAGCAACAACAGTTTCAATCACCTAAATCATGTTCTGCAAGTTCGCAATCTTCCATTTTTATGCCTGAAAACCAACACAAGAATGGAAAGCAAGATTGGTTGAAGAAGATGAGCAAGATGATGAAAGAAAACCCCAACGTTTCAACATTTATAAAGAATTAGCTAACGAGGAGATGCTTACCAAAAGGAGTCTTTCTTCTCCTGTTCCAATAGCTCTTCGAAGGAGATGTCTGAAAATTCATCATCTGGATTGTCTAACTCTCTACTCGATTTCTCTTTGAGTTCCATGGAAGCGCTTATTTCAAGAACCTATAGCATCAGAAAGAGTATTCAGGGCTATAACAATGGTTAAGCCAAACAAGAAACCAGAATCCCAAGGAAGGTCTGAATTATGCAAACAGATTCCAGTACAGAAGTTAACACTCCACTGGTTTGTCAGGCAACAGCAAAACAAAAATCCGAAACATGGTCGAACAGAATTTAAGGTTTTCGACACATGACACAATCAACAGAAACAAGTGATGGAGTTTGTTTGGTTTTACCTTTTTGTATGCAGGTGAAAGTTTTAGCTGTTGTTGGAGCCAATTATATACAAGTGCATCTTCTTCTACTCTTTTTTGTTCCATCTCCAGCTTGTATATCTGATATAACACACAAACATAACATTGTGCCTCAAAAGCAACAAACAAAAATTTTAGACAATAAACTGATGAAGCTGAGATTCACCTGTTGACGAATTCGGTCCAAGGAAGATCTATCAGCCTTGAAGAGAAGGGCTTTTGTTATAGAAAACTTGCGCTTGATTACCTCGGACCTACAATACAAAACAAGCAGGCTTAAATTAACATCACCGGATAATAAAAAGATAGTACTCAGACAAGCAACAAGTCACCATTATCAAAGGAAGATACAAGGATGAAGCATAGAACAAAAAGCAGCTAACATTTGTTATGCATTTAGAAACCGATGTCTTGAGGTGTTAAAAGTACACGAAAATTGATATTCTCTCAATAAGATCTTCCCCAAAGTTAGTAGTGAACAGTGAACACTCAATGAAACTATTTCAATCTAACAAGAATCAGGCGTGTCTCAATCTAACTTTACTAACATGGTAGTGTTTAACTTACTTGTGTTGTAGCTCGTTTTTAGCTTCTATCAAACAATTGGCAAACTCCCCAACCTGCAGAAGTGAATATCCCAAAGAAACATCAGAATCTAAAATCAGAAGACCCTTTGTTTACAGGATTTTGAACAAAGAACAACAAAAGCTAAAAGCCACAGAGGTTTAAGATGCTGAAAAATGCTATTGCTTAAGGTTTCGTAGACATTATCTAACGACTTGTAGTTTTCAATTTCCAATTCCAATTGAAGCTATAACCTAAGAAGCGGACCTGAGCTAGGGTCAATCCTTTGGCACTATTGCATTTAACAAGCTGGTCATATTGCTGCTTAATCTTCCTCTGTGTAGCACTACTCGTCGAGGTAAAAGGGTACAAGCAAACAAACTCCGGTTTGATTTCCGAAATCGACCCAGACCTCGGATTCAAAACAACCCCATCGTCTTCACTATTTCGTTTCTCGCCGCCGATTTCATCATTTTCTCCTCCTCTTACCTCTGAT